TTAAAAAAAAAAAGAAATGGAGATAATTAACCCTGTCACCCAAGGAGCTGTGATCTACTTAATCTCATTGCTCCAGGGCCAAGCCCATGTCCAGTCCCTTAGCATGTCCAGTCCCTTAGCACAGGGCCTGAGTGGACTCTGGTAGGGCCAAGGCTAAGCAGGAGATCATGTGAGCCCGATGACCCCTCAGAGAGGCCACAAGCACTCCCCAAAGCATATGAAGCATGTACATATGTTTCCAAACCTTCTTAGACCTCCTAATTTGTGAAATTTGTAACTGCAATGAAGTGACTGCAAAACAATCATAAATGCCAGCCAGTCAATGTTAGACCTTCAGCAGGTTTTGAAATTGAGACATCATAAACAGGAGACTGTATCATGCACTGTGGCCTCAAATGAAGGGAAGTACTTAGTGGAAATGAAACCAGACAGTCAAAAGGGAAGAGAAAAGGGGAGCCAAAGTCTGGGGCAGGCTGGACCTTCGGGAAAGGGGCACTAGCACCATCGGATTCCTTAGTCTGATCCCTGGGACAGGAGCTGAGTAGGACTTATGGAAGCATCACCACCCTTCCCACCCTGTGGTGGAGTGGTGAGCTTCCCGGGCCTGTGGGACAAAGGGGCAGGATCTGACCACTCCCTCCTCTTTCTTTCTCTGTGTTTTAGGAAAACTCCATAGAGCCATCAGTAAGTCCTGCTCCTCCTCCATGGCACGAACTTCCCTATGCTGGCGTTTCTGCTTTTAGATAAGTGCTTCAGTTTCACTCTCTGGGCAGAGGGAGGGAGCAAGCATAATCCAAGCCACAAGATTGGGGTTTCTTAGCTCTCAAAGGCCTCATTTCTCAAGTGTCCCTGCTGCCCTGTCCTGCTCACCTGTTAGCGAGTCTCTAAGTGGGAAATGCTTCCCCAAGAGGAGATGTACTTTCCAAATTGAAGCGATGTGGAAGTCACCTTTATTACTCAGGCGTGGTGTCCCTCAGGTGAGGTCCAAGGCAGGTAGCTCTCCATCAGCCTGAGTATGTTAGAGCATTGTGTTTCTACCACTGCATGGGTGAAAACTTTTTTTTTTTTGGTGGAACTGGGGATTGAACTCAGGCCCTTGTGCTTGCCAGGGAAGCGCTTATTCCACTGAGCCATCTCCCCGGTCCCTTTTTCTTTTTTTTTTGAAAACTTTTTTTTTTTTAACGTTGGAAACAATCTTCAGCCAGGCATGATGGCACATGCCTGTAATCCTAGCACTCCAGAGGCTGAGGCAGGAGCTTCACGTTTGAGGACAGCCTGGGTACATAGTCAGTTCAAGGCCAATCTAAACTACATAGTGAGACCCTGTCTCAAAAAACCATAACATATTGGGGCCGGGAAGATGGCTCAGTAGGATGAGCGCTTGACTGGCAAACGCAAGGATCTGAGTTCAATCCCAGGTTCCGCCAAAAAAAAAAA